TACAGAAGAACTAACTGTACCGTTAGTCCCACCATCCTTCAGTGTGTCTTTAGTTTCTGTTTGGAGCACATGTAATTGTTGGAGCTATACATATGATTGTTTAACCTGCTTGAATTTCATCTATTATGAACTGCACAAGTTTTGGATTAAAGCTTTCTACGATCTGCAAGATGTCATTTGGCTCAAGTCATTGTCTGCTAACACTGCTGAGACTGTACGTTTTATGTTTGGGACACAGTGAATGTCTTTATATTGTTGTTTTTTTATACGGAAGGGGTGCCCCTTTAGGTAAGCGATGAGCAGTTGTAGATATGAAATAGAGTCAATCTAGAGGTTGGGGATAATATCTTCTGCTAGCGAGTTGGGGCCCTTTAAAAGGTGAAAAGTGATGAAGAAGGACAGAGTCGGGTCTGCAGACAGAACTAGGGAGGCAGCAACGCAAGTATTCCTCAACTGACTTGGGTATTCAGTACAGGTGTCAGCTAGCAGTGTCTTTGTATAACTGGGTAAAGCAGAAAAGTGGACAAAGAGTCTTTGTCTCTCTGCTGAAGGAGTGATGGGCCTACAGCAAACTGTTAGTGCGCTGTCAGCTGTGGTGGATGACTTTGAGAAGGCTGTGAGGATTGCTAAATAGCAGGAAGCAAGATGATCTGTGGTGCAGTTTCACAGAGGAATAGGCTGTGTGTCACTGTCACAGGCTAGGTGGCTGAGTATTGATGCAGCTGAATACAGAACAGCGGCCTCCAACCATCCTCCCTGATTTCCCTGGACCAAGAGATCAAGCCCGCCAGGTACATTCATATACATAGGCTTCTGCATAATCCCTTGTTGATTCAGCTCTCTGGAATTCATAGTTCAAAAGGGGCTTTAAGATACAGGGAGGATTGGCAATAGGACTGCAGGTTTCAAGATCCTCTGCCCTTTTACAGGAAGAACAGTTCTCCCTGCTTTACAGGCAGGAACTGATGGAACGCTATGGGTGCTGGGCATTAGGAGGGAACTAAAAAGCCTATGATTCAGTTTGACATTGTCCCCTTGATTCCATTTTGCAGTAACTGGTATCTGACTACAGGTAAAAGTACCAGAGTGAGCAAGTGTGGGCAAAGAGATTGGGGTCATTAGCCTAAAAGTGAGTATCTGTGGAAAACCTGATAAAGTTCCTGGGGCACAGGAGAAAATGGTAAATGCAGAATGTGGAGGATGGCAGACTGTGTCTGAAGAGTTACTCCCTGGTAAAGGTCTAGATAGAGACCTACAGTGAAGGAAATAAGTATTTGATCCCCTGCTGATTTTGAATGTTTGCCCACTCACAAAGAAGATCGGTCTAAAAATCGAATGGTAAGTGTATTGTAACACTAAGAGACAGAATAGAAACAAAAAAATTCAAAAGAAATGCATGTATAACAATTATGCACTGATTTGCATGTTCATGAGGGAAATAAGTATTTGATCCTCTATGATTCAGCAGGATTTCTGGCTCCCAGGTGTCTTTCATACAGGTAAAAAGCTGAGATTATAAGCAGTCTATTTAAGGGAGTGCTGCTAATCTCATTTTGTTACCAGTATAAAAAGACACCTGTCCACAGGAGCAATCAAACCATCAGATTCCAAACTCTCCACCATGGCAAAGACCAAAGAGCTGTCCAAGGATGTCAGGGACAAGATTGTAGACCTACACAAGGCTGGACTGGGCTACCAAACTATTGGCCAAGCAGCAGGGGATCAAATACTTATTTCTTTCACAGTAGATGTCTATAGTAACTGTCAGGTGTCAAGACATTTCGAAGGAAGTTGTTTTTTATATTCCCTTTGCAAACACTGTCCTGACACAGATCCTGCTTGACCTGAGAGGAAGAAAGGAGAGAGAACCACACTGCCCAATGCCATCAGGGAGAGGAGTCCAAGAGAGTGAGGACTGTAGTAGAGGGGATGTGGGATCCACAGCTGCAGGAGCAAGAGGCTATCCTCCCCTTGCCTGTTTGTGTGCGGACATCACTGTCTGGACAGAGCAGAGACACTTCCCACCAGCAAACTCTATCATTGGGCGCAGACCTACAGCCACAGGCACATCATCAGCAGCGTGGCTATACAGGGCTACCTCCAGATATGCCCATGCAGACTTCGCTAAGCCCCTGAGGTATCAGGATGCCAATAGGGCATTCTTCATCTGGCTGCAGACCTTCAAGAGTCTTTTCCAGGACACACTTTCTCTGAGAGCCTTGATATCTTCAGGATCGATGATCGGGCGAAGGCCCACCTTACCCTTTAAAACTCCACTCAGAGATACTGCATGCAGACACCACTACTCCCTTATCCACTTAAATGTCCTTTGCTGGGAAATACCCTATCTATTCTATTCATGTTTCTGGATGCCATTGCACAGTAACACATTTGGGCTCCTTCATAGCTAGCTGAAGTCCACAAACCTCAAGGATTCCTCCACTCAAAGGATTCAGCCTGCAGAATCTGTCACTGGTTAATCTTTTTTTTCTCCTAGTGTAGCAACTGTTTATTTTACCCAGATTTCATTTCATATATTCTGCTTTATCATTTTATTTGGTCTGTAGCATTAGGGCTTAGAGGGAGCTGATTCACGAAATGTATTTTCTTCCCCCTCTTGCTCCTGGGATCATAGGTACACTTGGGGTTTTTTGGCCCTACAGTCAGGTCCATTGTTACAATCATTTATTGCATATCTTTGACTTACATTTTTGTCACCTGTTGACTTTATTATCTGCAGTATAATATTATCTTGCAAAGCTATTCATTTTGGTACCGTTTTAGCACATGTCTACGCAGTGATTTTATTCAACCAGGTGTGTCAGAGGAGATGACAGAGTGGGGGCAAAGAACAGGGTACCCAAAATTACCAAGCGGGCTTCTTCGGGGGTAGTGCTACACGTATTTCCCAGCAGCCACCTGTGCAGGGCCAACAAAGATTGGCTGGGACTGTATACATTTTCATGCTGCCCATTTACATTACTGCACACCTAAACTATATTGCCAAAAGTATTGGGACACTCCACCAAATCATTGCATTCAAGTGTTCCAGTCACCCCCATGGGCACAGGTGTATAAAATCAAGCACCTAGTCATGCAGACTTCTTCTACAAACGTTTGTGAAAGAACGGGTCGCTCTCAGGAGTTCAGTGAATTCAAGCGTGGTACCGTGATAGGTTGCCACCTGTGCAATAAGTCCATCCGTGACATTTCCTTACTACTAAATATTCCACAGTCAACTGTCAATGGTATTATAACAAAGTGGAAGCAACTGGGAACAACACCAACTCAGCCACCAAGTAGTAGGCTGCGTAAAATGACAGAGTGGGGTCAAAGCATGCTGAAGTGCACAGTGCGCAGAAGTCGCCAACTGTCTGCAAAGTCAATAGATAAAGACCTTCAAGCTTCATGTGGCCTTCAGATTAGCACAACAACAGTGCGTAGAGAGCTTCTTGGAATGGGTTTCCATGGCTGAGCAGCTGCATTCAAGCCTTACATCACCAAGTGCAAGCGTTCGATGCAGTGGTGTAAAGCCCGTTGCCACTGGACTCTAGGAGACGTGTTCTCTGGAGTGACAAATCATGTTTCTCTGTCTGGAAATCTAATGGACATGTCTGGGTTTGGCAGTTGTCAGGAAAATGGTACTTGCCTGACTGCATTGTGCCAAGTGTAAAGTTTATTAGAGGGGGGATTATGGTGTGAGGTAGTTTTTCAGGGGTTGGGCTTGACCCTTAGTTCCAGTGAAGGGAACTTTTAAGGCGTCAGCATGCCAAAACATTTTGGACAATTTCATGCTCCCAACTTTCTGGGAAGAGTTTGGGGACGGCCCCTTCCTGTTCCAACATGACTGCGCACCAGTGCACAAAGCAAGGTCCATAAAGACGTGGAGGAGCGAGTTTGGGGTGGAGGAACTTGACTGTCGTGCACAGAGTCCTGACCTCAACTTGATAGAGCACTTTTGGGATGAATTAGAGTGGAGACTGCGAGCCAGGCCTCCTCGTCCAACATCAGTGCCTGACCTCACAAATGCACTTCTGGAAGAATGGTCAAACATTCCCATAGACACCCTCCTAAGCCCTGTGGACGGCCTTCCCAGAAGAGTTGAAGCTGTTATAGCTGCAAAGGGCGGGGCCAACTCAATATTGAACCCTATGGACTAAAACTGGGATGTCATTAAAGTTCATGTGCATGTAAACAAAATGCAGCTCACCTGGATACAATGAGCCAGATCTGAATCTATACCCCAAGGGGCAGGGTGCACACGTGACGTCATTGGTTGCTGGGATGCCTGCAGTCCCAGCAACCAATGTCTGCTCAGCGATGGGGATCTGGCAGTTTAGACGGATGGGCTGACGGTCTAGACAGGAGCATCGCTTGGTTTTTGTTTGGACTGTGGTCCGCCATTTATTAATGGCTGCTGTATATGCACATACATACAGTACAAGTACACTTGGTTGTGACAAAAGATAATTAAATCCTCAAAAACCATCTGGATCTCATTATGATTTGGTGCCATCAATAGATCTTTGAAGAAAATAATGCTTGAACCTTTGAAGAAAAACATTGCAGAAGAGGGTAATTGGAATAAAGTATCCTAAAGAATGCTACTGGTGTTTAATAGGGCCTGATGAAAAATGGCTTCAGAAGACCTCATAAGCGGAGTTGTTGAAAACCAAAGACTAGAAAGAGTTGCAAAAGATTTCTTGGGAATACGCAGGTCCACAGTTATGCAGATAGTGTACAAATGCAAGACATTCAACATCATTGCTACTGTATTTAGAAGTGGAGCTTCCAACAAAAATATGTGCAAAAGCACAAAACAATCCTCAAACCCCTGGCCTCTTGGCATCACCATAACAAACATTTAAAGTGGTTGTACACCATTACATATACCGTATTTGCGTATAAGACGACTGGGCGTATAAGACGACCCCCTACTTTTCCTGTTAAAATATAGGGTTTGAGCTATACTCGCCGTATAAGACTACCCCTCTTCCAACGCGCCCCATCATTGGTGTCAGTGGGGAGGAGGAATAGTGCCCCATCATTGGTGTCAGTGGGGGGAGGAATAGTGCCCCATCATTGGTGTCAGTGGGGAGGAGGAATAGTGCCCCATCGTTGGTGTCAGTGGGGAGGAGGAATAGTGCCCCATCGTTGGTGTCAGTGGGGGGAGGAATAGTGCCCCATCATTGGTGTCAGTGGGGGAGGAATAGTGCCCCATCATTGGTATCAGTGGGGAGAAAAGTGCCCCATCATTGGTGTCAGTGGGGGAGGAATAGTGCCCCATCGTTGGTGTCAGTGGGGAGGAGGAATAGTGCCCCATCGTTGGTGTCAGTGGGGGAGGAACAGTACCTCATCGTTGGTGTCAGTGTGGAGGAGGAATAGTGCCCCATCGTTAGTGTCAGTGGGGGAGAGGAGCGGCTGCTCCTTCTTTCAGTTCTGCCGCTTGATTTTCGCGGGGCCGTTCGGCTCCGCCTCCTCGCCGGTGATTGGTCGCCTGTGTGCCTTTCCAGTGCTGGCGCCCAATCACCGGTGAGGAGGCGGAGCCGAGCGGGCAGCGGGACCATCGAGCGGCCAAACTGAAAGTAGGAGCAGCCGCGCTTCCTGGACCGGATCGTCGTGGGACCGGAGCCAGGTAAGGTACAGCAGCCCCTCTGCCCACCCCTGTACTTGGTGTCCGTTGGAGGAGGAGGGGGGGCGGCGCCGCCCCTCGAAAAAGTGCCGCCCTGACACCAGCTCGCCGTATACCGGCGTATAAGACGACCCCCGACTTTTCAAAAGATTTTCACGGGTTGAAAAGTCGTCTTATACGCCGGCAAATACGGTACCCAGTGAAGTAAGTGGCCTCAGGTGATACACAGATCAAACAAATTCTTCTACATACAGGTAAGTTGCATCTGTCTGTCTGCAATCTTCTCTTCTCTACATCCGTTCAAAGTGCTGAATTTATAAAACTTGTCTGAGAGTTCAGAAAAAAGGGGGCAGAGACCTTAAACTATATTCTGCAGAGCTCAGTGAGGAGAGCTCTCAGAGCTGATTGGATGGAAGAGACACACCCCCTTCACATAGCTCACAGGAACAAAGCTGAGGCTATCAATATGCAGGAGGTCCCTCCCCTGTTACCATTTTTCTCTTGGTATCAGGAAAATGTCAGAAGTGAGTCATGCCGACAGCAGAGGAATGAGGCAGCAGACAGAAATTACACTGCATTGAGACTATAGCACACACTATAGAAGGATGTGCTTTGTTCATTTTTCATGTTTGAGGTTTACAACCACTTTAACTTGGAGAGCAAAAAATTGCATATCAATGAGGAAACTGGTGGGGATAATGGTATGAAAATGGTATAGTGGTGTGGGAGTACTTTGTTTCCTTGAATACTGGACACCTTGCAATCTTTGAGAGATGAATAAAAATACATTTTATATTATAACACACAGGTCATAATTCTGCATTTAAAGTACACTTGGCATGACTTAAATATAGAGCTGCACTTGATGGTCTTCTGAAACCTTGGTTGCCTGGCTGTGTCTGGCTCTTTCGCTGCCAGGTCCGTATGCTGTACAGACCTAACAGCAGGGGGGTTTCTAATTGGATATGAAATTTGATTTTTCTTTTCATTTGTAATGGACATGTTTAATAGCTAAAAGTAAAAAAATATAGTTTTTTTTTTTTCAAAATTGTCGGGTTTTTTTTTTGTTTATAGCACAAAAAATAAAAAACTCAGAGATGATCAAATGCCACCGAAAGAAAGCTCTATTTGTGGGAAAAAAAAAGACATACATTTAATTTATGTACAGGGTTGCATGACCGCGTAATTGTCAGTTTAAGTAACGCAGCGCTGTATATTTTAGGGATCCTAGACCATTTCCCTCAAATACATATAACTAGTATACACATTTAAAAATAAAGTTAAAAAGGATATCTACACAATATAAATACACTCTGGCAGGCATTTTAACCCAAACGAAAATTTGGCTTTTTTGTCAGCAAGGTCAGTTTTAGTTAGTCTGAGATTTTCCTGAATTATAAATTTTTTTTTTTCAGATGTGAAAGTTATCAAATCAAACACTGCCACACAGTGGCCACATCTGCTAGTTAACCTTCGAGAACAAAAATCATCCACATTAGGATGTAGATTGGGGATTATTACTTTTAACGGGTGAGATAGAGATTATTTTTTCTATTTCTTCCAATTCAGTGATGTCCCAAATCTATCAAATTGTGTTAAACATTCATTTTGATTATGCTAATTTCACCAAGTTTCTATTCCTGATATTTTTCACTTTCTGTACTTTTTCTAAATTACACTTCACTTCAATGAGTATCAAAAACAGAAATTTAATTTAGGTGTTTAAAAAAAAAATTCCTGAAAAATGTCTCTATTTTGGAGAGTCAAAGGATGTTTTCGTTTACAGAAATGTGTTTAATGTTAATTTTCCCGCAACTAAACTACTGAGATGTCTTTTGGGACTCTAATCAATTCAACTCGAACCTCCTACAGAAACGGTCTTTATTATTAAAGTAGGAAAAAGCCTAACACTATCTCTTCTTAAAAATGCTATCTATCGTATTTGCCGGCGTATAAGACGACCCCCTACTTTTCCTGCTAAAATGTAGTGTTTGGGCTATACTCGCCGTATAAGACCCCCTCTTCCAATGCACACCAGTGGGAGGAATAGTGCCCCATCATCGGTGTCAGTGGGAGGAATAGTGCCCCATCATTGGTGTCAGTGGGAGGAATAGTGCCCCATCATTGGTGTCAGTGGGAGGAATAGTGCCCCATCATTGGTGTCAGTGGGAGGAATAATGCCCCATCACTGGTATCAGTGGGAGGAATAGTGCCCCATCATTGGTGTCAGTGGGAGGAATAGTGCCCCATCATTGGTGTCAGTGGGAGGAATAGTGCCCCATCATTGGTGTCATTGGGAGGAATAGTGCCCCATCATTGGTATTAGTGGCAGGAATAGTGCCCCATCATTGGTATCAGTGGGAGGAATAGGTGCCCCATCATTGGTGTCAGTGGGAGGAATAGTGCCCCATCATTAGTATCAGTGGGGGGAATAGGTGCCCATCATTGGTGTCAGTGGGAGGAATAGTGCCCCATCATTGGTATCAGTGGGAGGAATAGTGCCCCATCATTAGTATCAGTGGGGGGAATAGTGCCCCATCATTGGTATCAGTGGGGGAATAGTGCCCCATCATTGGTATCAGTGGGGGGAATAGTGCCCCATCATTGGTATTAGTGGCAGGAATAGTGCCCCATTATTGGTATTAGTGGCAGGAATAGTGCCCCATCATTGGTATTAGTGGGAGGAATAGTGCCCCATCATTGGCATTAGTGGGAGGAATAGTGCCCCATCATTGGTGTCAGTGGGAGGAATAGTGCCCCATCATTGGTATCAGTGGCAGGAATAGTGCCCCATCATTGGTATTAGTGGCAGGAATAGTGCCCCATCATTGGTGTCAGTGGGAGGAATAGTGCCCCATCATTGGTATTAGTGGCAGGAATAGTGCCCCATCATTGGTATCAGTGGGAGGAATAGGTGCCCCATCATTGGTGTCAGTGGGAGGAATAGTGCCCCATCATTAGTATCAGTGGGGGGAATAGGTGCCCCATCATTGGTGTCAGTGGGAGGAATAGTGCCCCATCATTGGCATTAGTGGCAGGAATAGTGCCCCATCATTGGTATCAGTGGGGGGAATAGTGCCCCATCATTGGTATTAGTGGCAGGAATAGTGCCCATCATTGGTATTAGTGGCAGGAATAGTGCCCCATCATTGGCATTAGTGGCAGGAATAGTGCTCCCATCATTGGTGTCAGTGGGGAGGAATAGTGCCCCATCATTGGTATCAGTGGAAGGAATAGTGTCCCATCATTGGTGTCAGTGGGAGGAATAGTGCCCCATCATTAGTATCAGTGGGGGGAATAGTGCCCCATCATTGGTGTCAGTGGGAGGAATAGTGCCCCATCATTGGTATCAGTGGCAGGAATAGTGCCCCATCATTAGTATCAGTGGGGGAATAGGTGCCCCATCATTGGTATCAGTGGCAGGAATAGTGCCCCATCATTGGCATTAGTGGCAGGAATAGTGCTCCATCATTGGTGTCAGTGGGAGGAATAGTGCCCCATCATTGGTATCAGTGGGAGGAATAGTGTCCCATCATTGGTATCAGTGGCAGGAATAGTGCCCCATCATTAGTATCAGTGGGGGGAATAGTGCCCCATCATTGGTGTCAGTGGCAGGAATAGTGCCCCATCATTGGTGTCAGTGGGAGAATTAGTGCCCCATCATTGGTATCAGTGGCAGGAATAGTGCCCCATCATTGGTATCAGTGGGAGGAATAGTGCCCCATCATTGGTATCAGTGGTGGGAATAGTGCCCCATCATTAGTATCAGTGGGGGGAATAGTGCCCCATCATTGGTGTCAGTTGGAGGATTGTGTCCCAACATTGTGTCAGTGGGAGGAATGGTGTCCCATCATTGGTGTCAGTGGGGGGTGGAATGGTGTCCCATCATTGGTGTCAGTGGGGGGTGGAATAGTGCCCCATCATTGGTGTCAGTGGGGGGTGGGAATAGTGCCCCATCGTTGTGGTGTTGTCAGTGGGGGGGAGGAATAGTGCCCCATCGTTGGTGTCAGTGGGAGAATTAGTGCCCCATCATTGGTGTCAGTGGGAGGAATAGTGCTCCATCATTGGTATCAGTGACACCAATGATGGGGCACTATTCCTCCCACTGACACCAATTACACTTGCTGACCCTGTTCTAGTATGGTGCTGCTGCAGCCAGCATATGTGGGTTGCAGCAGCACCTCTACACTGAACACTTACCTGCTGCTCCTGCACTCGATTTTCGCGGGGGCCGCTCGGCTCCGCCCCCTCACTGGTGATTGGCCGCCTGTGTGCCTTTCCTGAGCTACAGTTCTGGCGGCCAATCAACTGGTGAGGAGGCGAAGCCGAGCAGGGGCCGCGCGAACGTCCAGTGGCCGAACTGAAGGAGCAGCCGCGCTTCCTGGACTGGATCGTCGTGGGACCGGAGCCAGGTAAGAAACAGCCCCTGCCCACCCCTGTACTTAGTGTCCCTTCCGTTGTAAGGGGGGGCGGCGGCGGCACCGCGCCACCCCCCTAAAAAGTGTCAGATGCCGTATACCGGCGTATAAGACGACCCGCGACTTTTTGAGAAGATTTTCAAGGGGTAAAAAGTCGTCTTATACACCGGCAAATACGGCACCTATCTATCCTGCATACCCAGTGTAAAAACGATCCGTGTACATTGTGACGGTTGCGCGGGGTCAGACCCCAGCCCTTCTCACCAACTTGTGACTGAAGGACCAGCTGACCTCAGACCGCGCTGTCACTTGCGTAAACAATGCCACTCTCAGCTGTGCCCTGCATAAAGATTTTCCAGCTTGCGGGACCACAATCTACGTGCCAGCAGCCTGAGAGAGATTGTTACCGGGTCAGGTTAATTACGCAATTAACCCTTCACACTATGTCGGAGATCGTCGCGCGCTGGTCCCGGCGCAGGCGCAGTACACCTCCCTGTACGCGAGCGCCGGGACTTGGCCGACCGCGGCAATCAGGTTTTGCGCATGCGCAGTAGTGACCGCGGGTGCGCGCCTGGCACCAATGACAGCGCAGGGCGGGATATTTAAACGGCCCTGAGCTGTCATTCAGTGCCTTTTGGTCTTTTGTATCCTGTGAACCTGTCTGAAGTAAGTTGCTGACCCGGATTGTGCCCTGACCTTGCTGTTTTCTCCTGTTTTGACCCTTGCTTGCCTGACTCTCTCCTGAATGCCCCCTATTGGATCTGACCTGCTGTTGCTGACCTGGCGTGTGACCCGACTATTCTCTGCCCGCTGCTCTGTACCGCACCGTCCCCATAGTTACCGACCCGGCTTGTATGACCCTGCTCCTGCTCAGCCATCCATCCATCCATCCATCCGTCCCTCTCTACGGGGTCTCCAGACCTCCTCATACCCGGCTCTCTCCCGTGGGAGCCCCTGGCGAATATCCCTACCACTGACGGGTGTCCTCAGTAGTCACGACCTGGTCCTAGGGTACTCCAAGTCCATCCCCACCATCAGGGGCCCTGGTGAACAAGTACCCTGGGGCTTAGACTCCGTGCGCTGGGAACATCCGACCAGTGGAGTGCTAGTGGTACCGCCGGGCGGTCCCTTACACACTGCCACCACCACCTTTTTACAGAGAAGGAAGAAACTCACAAATCTTAGCAGTAACACTATGATATTATTATAAGCATCTGTAAATAATACACCCTGTCACTACAGAAAGATGTATTCAGAGGATTATCACATGCAGTAGCACTCTTCAGAGACAGGGACTCTTTTGTTTGCATGAAAAGCTTTAGAGACAGTTCAACACTTTTCAGAAAATAGGATTTATTACTAAAAAGGTCAAAATGGTGCAATTAAAATATTTACAGAAAAAGATGTAACAAATATATATATAAGAGAGCAAATAAAACAACAGAGAAATAAAAGAAAGAAGTTTCAGAAGGCAGAATACTTGCGAAAGTCTTTGTCCTCATCTGAACAAAAGGGTGCCTTGGCTCTCAAGATGGTTCCTGATTGATGTTAAAGGGAGAGCTACCTTTTCTCCAGGCTGTCAGTCTTTTTCTATTATCTCAAAGGGGTGTCTCCTGAGAAAAAATAGCCAATCACCCCATTTGGGGATGGGTGTTAGGCGATGACCAAGGTTAGGACCAAATCCCTTCCAAGTTCATACTACGGTCAATAACCTTCAATAGGTACAGGTAGCATCCTAGCAACTGGCAGATTAATATTTAGAATTATATTCCGCTCGCACAGATACCAAACTTTAACATATCCTGCCACTCCGGAAAAAAGAAATTGCTTTCTACCCCCTTGTAGGTGCTAACCTCGGGATGTAAGGTGTCATGTGACTCATATTAAAATGACCTATCCGAATATATACTTCATATCAATGTGCCCAGTTCCTGCTGAAGTTTATGAATTCGTATGAAAAATGACTCATGTGGAATGGATGTTTTATGGCACACTCTAGCTCTAATGGCCTACAGGTTGTGACCGACTGAGTTATGGTTTTGACCGGGCAGAGGAAAGTGGTTTTTCCAGCAGACCTTTTGGAACCAGGCTAATTAGGGGTTTACAGCCATGGAGCTTATCCAGCTGTGCATATGCACGGTTGACCCCGTTCACTTACAGACTCACATTCCATTCAAAAGGGAGGAGGGATAATCAAAATGGCTGCGACCTAGCAAAATGGCTGCCAGTGTCCAGGTCTCTATGCACACAATTGTCACATACATAACCTTTTTTTAATCTGTGATCCTGCAGCTCCGGCTTCACAACGGTTGTGAATTCCGGAAGTCGTCACAATGTCACCCATAGGCTCCCATGGCCCAGCCATTGTTGGCGCTTCCTCTTCTTCTCTGCAGCAGCTGCTTATTGATAACAAGGGAGCCAAAGCAGTAGGATTACATGACTGGACCAGAGTGGATTAAAAAGAGGTAGGTACGCAGATTTCTTTTACACAGGGTATGGAGGATAGGCAGGGAAGGATTGCATTGGTCCACCTTGGAACAATATAACTATGCATAGTCCCTGTGGAAACTGGAAATTACTGTAGTAGGCAATGCTACTGCGGCAATCACCGCTAACAAAGCATTCTGTGATTTATGAGCTGGAGATTATCACATCATCGATTATCACATCATCGCCCATCTCTCAACCTCATCTAATCCGAGAAAGCTTTGAATTCATTGAGACAATACAAAGAGGTTGATTTACTAAAACTGAAGAGG